CGCCTCCCTTCCCGCGCCCTTCCTGCCATGCTCTTAGAAAAGGAAAGCCAGGCGGGGCTCCGGTAAGGTTTGGCTCCTGACCCACCTTTCGGTCCTTTTGTAACTCCCTTTGCTCAGCTCTTAGTCCGTCTGTGCACGGGCATGGAGATGAAAGCATGCCAACTGCAAAAGCACACACTATGTATTGAGAAATCATTACAATGCCAAATTGTTTTTAGAGTAAAACCTGAATCTTTAAGAACTTGCTGTGTTAGGGAAACTGTTTACATATTGAGGTGTTCCTCCTTTTTATGACTGGAACAATAAAAAAATTAACATGGCTTTGGCTTCTGTGTGTGTGTGTGTGTGTGTGTGTGTGTGTTCAAAGAAGGCAGTCTTCTCCAGGTGGGCAACCTCCGCTGAGGCCCTCCTCGACTTCCTCCTCATAGTTCAAGAATGAACTGGTAGCCAAAACCGGTTTGGCTCAGTGGATAGAGTGTCGGCCTGCAGACTGAGAGGTCCCAGGTTCGATTCCGGTCAAGGGCATGTACCTTGGTTGTGGGCACATCCCCAGTGGGGAGTGTGCAGGAGGTAGCTGGTCGATGTTTCTCTCTCATTGATGTTTCTAACTCTCTATCTCTCTCCTTTCCTCTCTGTAAAAACTCAATAAAATATATTTTTTTAAAAAAAGAATGAACTGGTAAGAGTTCCCAGGCTTCTGCCCAGCAGGAGATAACACACCCCTGCTCCCACCAAAAACAGCAACAAAAACACTGGGCCTCATCATATTAACATGCCCACAGCACCTGCTGAGCTAGGGTTAATTATGCCCATTTTAGAGACCGGGACACCGAGGCTCATGAAGCTTTAGTAAGCTGACCCACGCCTCCCAGCTAACAAGCAGAGGAGCCAAGATTCTAGTCCACATTCTGACCAAATATCTGCACAAAGCAGCCTGGCTGTGCTCCCCAAACATGTCCAGACCCCACAGATGTCGGAAACCATGATTTCCATGCACCCAGAGCCTATTAGCTAACAGAAATTTCTGGAAGCTTTGAATGCCTGCATGGTAATCATCTAACTGTAAAATAATTGTTTCCGGTAGGTCTGCCTGTCAAATGCCTGTGGAGCCCAGCTGTCACCCCAAATTAAGGATGTCAGCGGTACTGACTGGGGAAACTTGGAGCGGCCACTTCCAATTATTTCATTAGCAACTTCCTGCTCACCATCACCCGAGGCGAATATTTTGGGCATTTTCAAAGTCACCATTTCCTCCCGAAAGCCGTGCTCATGTTAGCTAATCCAGCCCCTAAACTGGAAGTTTATGCATATTAGGCTGAAAGGGACTGAGAAGCTTAGGAAATAAGCAACCCTCTGCTTCTGGGGAGTTCTCAGAGCGCTGGGCCCCGCTGTGCACGCCCCACCCAGCCCAGTCCAGGCTGCCCCACCCCCAAACCCTGGCACCTGACAGCACCACGCGGCCGCCCCGAGAACCTGAAAGCAGGGAGGGTGGACTTGGTGTCGGGGTAGGGCAGCTCGGCCTGCGTCTGTGTGGTTTTGCCCTTAGAGAAGCAGGAAGCCAGTGTGACAACCGTGAGGACTCACAGAGCTGTTTGAGGGACCTTCTCCGTGTACCTGAGAGACTTACTCGCACGTTAAGAAAACGGTTCCAGGTGCGTGGGATGCAGCGGTTCTCAACCTGTGGGTCGCGACCCCTTTGGCGGCTGAACGACCCTTTCACAGGGGTCGCCTAAGACCATCCTGCATGTCAGATATTTACATGACGATTCATAACAGTAGCAAAATTACAGTTATGAAGTAGCAACGAGAATAACTTTATGGTTGGGGTCTCATACCTTGAGACTGCCGGGCCCCTGCGAATCAGGAGAAAGGATGAACGGTAAGATTCCCAGGCTTCTGCCCAGAGGAGAGAAGAGGCAGTGCCTGCCCCTCCCTGAGACGGGCTACCTCCCGCTGACCACTAGGTGGGACCGCAGCTCGCCAGATGCCGAGTGAACACGCACATGGGATTCTCCAAGCAGCCGTTCTGCAAGGGCCGAGCTC